TGGAAGGAAAGGGAGACGAAGGTATGAGCAATGATCACAGTGTAAAAGGTGTCACAGGCATCCTAAGCCTGCCAAGCTGTTGATTGTAATTTACCGCACATTCTCTTAATACTAACTGTGCAAACATTAGATTTTTTTTCCTTAAGGAAATGAAGGCATCTTTACAGAGACAGAATGTCCATTTTTGACGACTGATTAGGACCTCAGTACCTAGAGGGGGCTGAAATGCAGAAGCTCTGATTTTCCAAGCCATCAGTACTGGGAGGCCCATCCTGTGAGAGGTACATGTACGTCTCCCAACATCCCAGCACTCAGCGAGGGTACATAGTCTTCTGTTTATCCGGAGAAAAGGAAGGCTTCAACACGAGAGGAGGACCATGCAAGCGCGGGTCCCACACGTGGGCTGAAGGTTGCTGGGTTCTTCTCCAAAACTTCTACTAGTTAGAGACTCAGTCTCATCTGGGGTTAGCTAGATGACCTTCGGGTCTCTTCTGCTCATCCTGTCCTACAGTTTCTACATTCGGCCCTGATGTGCAGCCTGCCCGCTCACATCATCACCAGTGCACTTAGTGGAAACAAGCACAGTTTTAGAACAGTGTTAGCATTTTCCTTGCATTTCCAGCTTCCCCTTTAACAAGAGAACCAGAGACAACGCTTGCAAGCAGATCACTGTTGTGTTTGGTCTGAAGTCAGATGGGAGGCCTCCAAGGAAAGCTCCCTTTTAGCATTTTCCAATTAGAAAGTGCTGCACACTGCACTAAGAAACCATGTTCTTTCCCACTTTCCATTTACTTTTATTGCCATTATTTATCTGAGAGTATCATATTTCAAGAAAGACTTTTTCCCTAACCAAAAGGGAAAATATGCATTTATTAGCAAAAAAAAAAAAAAAAAAAAAGAAAACTCAGCAAATCCAATATGATGTCTATCATTTTCAAGCCCTGACATTTTTAAAGGAGTTTTGAATAAGTGGATATTAGGAAGAATGGTACCTTATAAAAGCAGCTTGCTGCATAAAGACCTATTTGGAAAGGCTTTTAAAAAGTGCATTATTTACCCACTGGAGCTGTCAGGTAATCATGTTTTCTCAAGGGAAAGCCAATATTCTTTTTTTTTTTTTAAATCAGGCCTAAGCTTTCCTTAAAACAGGCTATTGACTGGAATCAATGCAGACAGTGGCCTAAAAAGACACAGGACAGCCTGGCCTAAACAGTCAGCCCAAGGTTGCGCCTTCCACGGGTATCAGAAGCTGTTTTTGAGCTTAGGTTAGAAAATATTTTTTGGGGGGTGATAAGAGGCCACTCCAAGAAGGCCCCTGAATTCATCAAGAGTTCCCTCCAGTACTTCAGAAAATAGGAGCACATTTGGAATGTCCAAGGTCACAGAATTTGACTGTGAAGACATTTTTAATTTGCAATTTTGCCTATGTGAATGACTGATTGCTCATATGATTTAAGCAAAATTTGCTATGAAATATAATCAATGTGTACTTTTATCTCTTCCTGCTCAATGAATAGGCTTTTATTTGGGCAGATAATTGCTGTAGTATATGATTTTGTTCTTCTCTCAGAAATGTCCAGAATATATTCTGGAGTGCTCTGATATACTTGGAAAGTTTGTTTCCTCAGTGGGTGTATTGGTCAGAGTAAGCTTGTTTGTGCTGCTGTAACAAACACACCCACAGTTATGGTGGTTTAATACCACAGAGGTTTATTTGTCATGCAAGCAGTCTTTCATCACTTTGGGAGACTCTTCAAGGCCAATTGACCCTAATGTAGCCCACTGTAGTCCTGCAGCTTGAACGTGCCAACACAAGGTCTTTTTTGTAACTGTTGTCATAAGCAACTGGAGGACGTAATGCTTTGCTTCTATACCTTTAGCCTAGCCACATGGCTCCAACCAATTGGAAATGGCAAGAAAGTAGCATTCATTGGGAACCTGGAAAGACAAGAAGGCCAGATTAAAAAGCCCTGGAAGTTATTTTAGAGAGGAAAAAAAAGAAAACAATCTAATCATTCAGCTTCTAGGCATAAAGGCTGGTGAGGTAGACTGACACAGGGGCAGGTCTGAACTGTTTACTTGCATTTTACCTACTCTTCACCTTGACTCTCTTATTCTCCACTGGGATTCCAGCTCTTGGAATAGTGCTTGGCTTGCAGTAAATGCCCAATAAATTGAATGAAAGAATTGGTGAGTGGATGGCTCCTGGTCTGAGGAGGTAAGGAGAAATTTCCCAGTGGGGAAGTCTGGTTACTGCAGGAAGGAGAGGAAGGAGAAGAAGGCAAGAGAGGAAGGTAAGGAATGACCATACCCGTGATTCCAGTGGACCCTCACTCACTCTGTTGTCTCAGGGAAGGGGAGGAATGGCTTGTGCATGCTACATGGATCTTAACAGCCTGGAACTCAGAGAGATGGAGGAACCGTGGGGAGCCTGGGGTGAATCCACTGGAGTCAGGTGGTGGCTCCGTTCTGACGAAGCTCAGGAGCTTTAGTAAACTGTGACTGCCTTTGAGTGAGGGTCACTGGTACCAGCCCCACTAAATGTAGAGGAGAAATTTGAGTCTAATCTAACTTTATCATTCCCCAGCATACATCTCCTTTTGAAGAAAAAAGAGAGGGGAAAGATATTGATTTAAAGCAGTTTTGATTCAAGGGTTAAATCTGTCCAAAAATATTTTTAGTTGTGTGTGTGTGTGTGTGTGTATGTGTGTGTGTGTGTGAAATTTATTGGACACCATGTTCTACTGTTAGCCCTCCAAATGGATGTGTTGGCTTTTAACCCATGAAGCAGAACCACCATAAGACTTTTGAATTACTGAAATATAATTTCTGTACCATGAATTCCATACATTTACACTTATTTATTTATGTATGAATTGGTACTGGGGATTGAACTCCAGCCCTTGCCCTTGCAAGGCAGGTGCTGAAGCCACACATTTACCATTTTAAAGATTCAAATTTCAACGTTGTTTGTCCATCATAGCCATCTAATTATAGAATCTTCTGTCAAAAAAACAACTGTATACCCATTAGCACTTACTCCTAATTCTTCCTGTCCCCAGTCCCTGACAAATGTTGGTCTGCTTTCAGTTTCTCAGTGATTTGCCAGTTTGGGGTGTTTTATATGAAGGCAGTTGTACAACATATGGTCCTGTTTTCCCAGTTTATCCATACTGTAGCATGAACTAATACTCGATTCCTTTTTTTGCTAAATAATATTTCACTGAATGGATACACCCCATTTTGTTTGTCCATCCATCAGCAATTGAACGTTTGGGAATGAGGTACTGTTTTTAGATGTGGTCCAGCTCTTACTTGCAAACTATATCTCGAGGGCTCTGGATATACCTTCTATTCAGGCAGGGTCTTGTGGGAGCACGTAGGGTACATCAGTACTGTGGGCTGGTTTCTAATCCTGATTTCTCTGGGAAGAAAATTTGCAGGCAGGAGAGTAGTCTTGAGGCTCTTTTATATGGCCATGAGAACAGTCACTGATTCTAGGCCCTGAAGTCTGTCTCCCCCAAAAGTATTTCTCTCCTGTCCTTGGTAAGGTGCTACATACATCCTTGTCTGACTGTGTCTTTCCCAGAAGAAGGCTGTGATAGAGAGTAACACCTGGGATGTGTAAGGGTTTACGGGAAAATGTGGGCTCAGTGCATGATGTCCCCAAAGCACAGATGGCAGTGAGGCTCACGTGAAAGTGGCAGTCACCCAAAGTAGGGCAGTTAATGGTGCACAGAAGCAGGGACTTCAGCTTACGGTGGCTAACCAGACAGGGCCAAAGTGCAGAATAATAAATCACAATGTGCAATTCTCGGCTAGAGGTTTGTAATCTGCTTTTGCAATTTGATAGTCTGTCTACACGCACACCAGGGAAGATCTAAGATGACCCTACATGGCACAGTGCTTCATTCCCAAATTCACTGCATTCCCAATGTACTGCATACTGCCCTCACATTGCTAAATTTCTCTTATGAGGAAACTTCCTGAAGCAGCTGAGTGATGGTACGGTGAAAAGTGGCTCTGCTTAAGGTTGTAGCTCTTTGCTTCTTGCCAGGTCGGTGGAAGGGGCATCAGGGAAGGTGACTGATCACAGTGCTGAAGTTTCTAAGTGGAGGGTGGAGATCACACACACGTACAGCTGGTCTGTGCTTCTACCCAGCCGTCCTTTTATGTGATCTGGGATACTTAGAGCTGTTTGTGTAATTGCTTCTTGTAAATGAGCTCCTACTCTGTAACACTTTACAGTAAACCACTTTCCTTTGCCATCTGGTATCCAGTTGTTTTAACCGGGTTTCCAGTATTTGCATCAGTCATTTACAAGAACCTTTTTAACCTTCGCAAAATGAAATAATTGAAGTCTATCCTTTCAGCTGCACATTTGTTTCAGAAAGGCTTTGAAATCAAGGCACATAGGGCTGAAAGGCGGGTGAGATGAAAAGAAAAAAGAAAAGGGCTCAGGCTCTTCTCCCTTTGAGGCCACTAGGAAACACCATGCTGCCTTTGAGGTGAGGGGTCCAGGGCCTCTGTTAGGGACTCATCCATGTGGAAAATCACTCAGGATGGGCAGATGAAGGGAATGATAAGCTTGGATGAGACATGCCCTTCCTTTGACCTTGTCTGCAAATCCTCCCGTGGTGTACGTCCACCCCTCCCCTGCCAGCCCCATGCACACTTTGACCACTGCTCTCCATCGCTAGCCTTTTTCCTACTTAAACGATGAGTTTTCCACCTTGCTCTGGAGAGGAAAATGGAGAGCAACCTGAACACGTCCACGGTGCCACCTCTCTTTGGTAAGACCTGGGTTACCAAGGGCACGGGGACTATTGGACGAAGGGTGGATTTTATCTCTCTTCCCCAAGAAACTTGGATATAAGCTACTGTGGTTGCAGATAAGAGTACAGTTCAAAAGAATTTGACTCGTTGACCACCTCAGGTCTTTCTTATCTATAAATGTAATCACTAAAGAAAATTCTAGAGGCCTAAGGAAAAGGGAGTTTTCCTTACAAAGAAACTCTATTTTTCCTCAAAAAAAAAAAAGGTTTTTCTAAGGTGCCTGTGGTTGTTACTTAAATCTTAATCTCATAAGGGCTTGTTGGCCTTTGGGGAAGTAGCATGAATTCATTTCTCACCCAAATCAATCAGTTTGCTTGGATTACTCTGATGATTTTCTGATTAATAGTTCTCAGACTCCCCACATAACAGACTGAAAGTAATTCTTTTTAAGTTTGCAAAAGGTCTTGAGAGCTTCAAATGCTTTCCTGAAGAAAAGCCCCCTTCTCTGTGATCTTCACCAATTTCTGGCTCCTGGTTTCTGGTGAGAGCTCCGTCTGTCTGAGGAAAGCACAGAACATTTCCTGAGAACAATCTATGGAATCTGGATAAAATGATACTCTCATGATGGTCTGTCGGAACCAGGGTGTGCACTCCCCAGCAACACTTTTGCAGCTGCAGAATTGAGGAGAAAGGCAGTCTTTTACTCTCTCCTCCTTTGGGGAGGAGGGAATCATAACCATGTTGTCCAGAAAGACTTCCCAGAGATCTCTCTGCAAACCTTTCTCTCTACCGTCCTACACCTGGTGACGTTTGCCTCCCTTGTTCCTCAGTCACTTTACAGGTTTCCCAACCTTTACTACACTACCCTCGGCTCCTCAGTGGCTCTTTACTGCCTGCCCTGCTGCCCGCCTCCTCTTCCAGTTTCTAACTGGAGACAACTTCATGTTGTCTCATGCATCAGCCCTGCTCACTCCAGGTGACAAAGTGTAGTGCCTGGGCCAGCAGATCAAGGGTCCTCCCTTCCTAGAAGATGGAGTGATAGGATGCTTATCGCTGAAGTTTCTTGAACTCAGTAGCAGGAGGCAGGACTAAGGCACAGATCTGGTCTCCGTGAGGGATGCAGCCCAGGGCAAAGTTCCCATCATTTTCCCCAGGGGCAGTTTGTGGTCCTGTCTGCTTCATGTAGGACTAGTTCAGAGTTTCCCTTATCAGTTACCCAGTACATGAAGTTAACCCTATGTTATTGGGTCAAAGATGCAGACAGGCTTCCTAGAAAACCTTAGTTTTCAAAAATCATCAAGATATGATATGAATATGTATGAATTCCTCAAGCTGAATGTAAACATATATATAAAATTTAAAAAAAATAAAACCTTGGTTTTCGATTTCTTTCTTTGTATTTTGATTCTCATAGTTTTTCTTTGTTGTATTCATTTACCTTACTTCTCTAAACCATGGGAGAATATATCTTTGCATCCAAAGAACAATTTCAGGATGGAAAATGTTGGTATGTTTAAGAGTTTGTATTTTTGTCACTGACTATTTTTTCCATTGACATAATTAAGCGATACTTCACGCACAGTATTTCCCTAATGTTTCTTATATCTAGAAGACAGAGACTGGTTATTACATTTGAAATTATGGTCTCTGTGCATGGGGTCGTGCTGAGTGTTGAACCCTGAGAGATTTTATCCTAAGCGAAGTCATGGAGTTTGTACAGTAGATTGATCCTACCACTGAAGCAAAAGCTACGGTTTGAATGCAGCTCCTGAACTGGAAGTTAATCTTCAAATACCGACGTTACTAGTTCTGGAGGGGGGCCTGAGGGAGGGAATTTGGATTACACAAGGCCACCAGGGTGAGACCTCCGTGTGACATCAGTGGCATCGATACAGAAGAGAGGTAGGGACAGCTGAACTGGCACACTTGGCCCTTTTCCACGTGATGCCCTCGCCGTGTCATGATAGAGCAAGAAGACCCTCATCGATGCCACGCAGGTACAGGTGCCTTGAGCTCCAGCTTCCCAGCCTCCAGCATGTTGAACCCAACAAGCTCCGATCCTTTATAAATTCCGTGGTCTCGGCTATTTTGTTGTAGCTACAAAAAAACAAATGTAGATAGTAAACATGGAGGAGGAGCTCCATCCAGGAAGTCAGGTCCCTTGAGACTATGCAGTTTGAGCCAGTGGTCCCGGGAGGTGTTTTTTTCTTTTTTTTCTTTTTAACTTTTAAAAAGTATTTTTATTTGGCTGGGGAATTAGCTCAGTGGTTCCGCCACCTGCCTCACAAGCATAAGGAACTGAGTTCAATCCCCAGTACCCCCCCAAAAAAATTATTTGTAATTGACAAATATGTTTTACTGACTTTCATTGGTCCATATTTGCAGTACATAATGATCATGTTCACTGTAGAGGTCGGTACACGTATGGGACACGTTTCCATTCCTTTTTTTTTCCCCTCCCCTACAACCCCTTTTAGTTTTCCAGCATCAGGCAATGAGTTTCCTCCACATTAGTGGCCAGACCACTGAGAAAAGGCTGTGATGTAGGCAGTAGTGTTCTCCAAAGCGTACATAGTATGAATCAGCCCACCGAAGAGGTCTGTGAGAACTACTACAGTGCAGAGAGGCTCATTAGTTCTCAGTGTGAGCCACATAATCAGAAGGTGGCATCAGAGAAAACTACTATTAGGAGTACTGATGGCAAAGACTGGTTTAGAAACATTTCTGTTAAGGAGAATGCTCAGATTTAATAGTGTCTTCCTCTGGCACTTTTTTTTTTTTTTGAGGGAGGGTCTCACTACGTAGTTGAGACTGACCTGGAACTCACTATGTAGCCTAGACTGGTCTCAAACTCACAGCACTCCTCCTGCCTCAGCCTCCTGAGTGCTGGGATTATAGGCTTGTGCCACCATGCCCAGCTCTGGCACTTTTCTATAGGATGCAGTTCCTTTATGGAGCCAAGCGCTGAGGGTTTCTTTGGTCCTCCCTTGTTTGCGAAAACTGCTTTCTGTGGGAGACGTAGAGCTTGCCTGCTGGGGCGCCTTCCCGCAATGGCCTGGGTGCAATTGCCCTTTAAGGAGGACAGAGGTCCAGTGTGATTGGAGTCTGTGCTGAAGCCCATGTCCAGTGTAAGCACAGCAGCCCTGGATTTTTTTTTACTGCTTGGTGTTCCAAGGCAACGCTTTGCTGAGAAATATTAAGTGTAACCAAATATTACAGGGAACGCACTGTTCCTGCTATATTTCCAGGGCATCTGATCAATGGGGAAAATGAGAAGTAGAAATAAACAAAAAAGGGAGAACTGAGCAAGCAATTGGGCTCAAAGGAAAACCGAGTCAAACAGAGGAAATGATTTTCAGAGTAAATACAGATAACCTGGGAAAGAGAGACTAACTCTAAGCAGAGAAGAAATGTCTAACTGTCTTGTTCTGGGCCTGGTTCAGGCCAGGGAACACGCATGGTGGGGTGGTGCTCTGAATTTTCATCTGGGGCCTGGTCTCTTAATAAATCCAGCTGTCAGAGTCAATGCCAGGAACAGGCAAGATGAAATCCAGTAAGGGGTAGGGGGTTCACCCTCCAGGAGAAAACAGCCAGCAGAACAGGAGCTGAGGAGCTGCCGCCAGCAGGCCAGGCAGCCACATGGCCCTGCAGGATTTCATTTGGAAGAAAGCAATCGGTTTGTGGAGGAAGTGGATCTGACTAGAGAAGCAAATCCAGAAGATTCACCATAAAGAACCGGGTCCCTTTGGAGACTGCACTGAAGCCAGTGGCCTCTGCCATGGGAGATTTGCATGCAGGAGCTCCTGGACCACTCCAGATAGTCTGCGATGTGGCCTGAACATGTAGGTTGTGGAGCCCAATGTATAGACCAGGGTTCTCAACCTCAGATCCATCGGTGTTGGGAACCAACATCCTTTGTCACGGGGGCTGTCCTATGAGTGGCAGGATGCGGAAGAGCAGCCTTGGTTTCCACTCACCAGATGCCAGCAGCACTTTCCCATCTGCTAGGCCCAGTGTGCCAACCCAAAACATATCCAGACTTTGCCACATGTACCCTAGTGAATAGAAATACTGCTGTAGATAAAGTAAAACCCAGAAAGCCTAGCTGGCTCATCTGCGTGTGCACAAGTAATGGGTGCAAAGCCAGAAGTGCAGGACTTTGAAGGCATCTTGTTCTTTTTGTAACTGTGGTGTCAATGAAGGGAACAGCTCTGTAGAGCTCAGGCTCCACAGACAGGTGCCTGGGTTTAATCCTGGACTCCATAACCACCATACCCTCGATGTCTATGTGAATGTGACTGCATTATGACACTCCCTTGTATCTTGGTCTCTATCTGTGAAATGGCTTCTCTGAGAACAAAATCCACTTTACTAGACAAGCAAAGAGCATGGTACCTAGTCTTCTTGCAATAAAATAAATTCTTTTTTTTTTTTTTTCGGTACCAGGGATCGAGCTTGGATCCTTGTGCTTGCAAGGCAGGCGGCGGAACCACTGAGCTAAATCCCTGGCCCAAAATAAATTCTTAATAATCCCCAATTTGTGTCCTTCTTGACTTTCTATTAGATGCTATTTAACTGATTTTAGATGTGTTTTGCTTATATGATTCCCTCTATATGAAATACATTTCTACCAATTTCTTTATAGGACTACTTGTTTTCTGCCCATCAAAAAAGCAAGAGTTGATTGAGCACGGTGATACCCATCTATACCTACAGCACTTGGGAGGCTGAAGTAGGAGGATTCCAAGTTTAGGTCAGACTGCGCTACACAGCAAGTGCAAGGCCAGCTTGTACTATGCAGTAAGACCCTGTCTTAAAAAAAAAGAAACAGAAGAACTAAGATAAAGATAAACAGAGAGAGGAAGAAGAGGAGAATAATAAAAAAGAAGAGGCAGAGGAGAAGAAGTTGCACCCCACAAAGGTTTTTAGGGTTTCCTTCGTATGCCCAAAGAGCTATGTGCACTGAAATTGTCTGTGCACATGTTTGTCTTCATAACTAGACCTACTATAAGCAAGTAGTTCAGAGACCCCACATAATTAACTTACATACCATGGTGGCACTCAGAGAAAGGTAGAAATGGGAATGGTGGGCAGGCTGATGGGAGAGTGTTAGGGAACAGGACAAAATCAGAGAGCCAAGAGGCTGCTCTCAGAATGTCTGGAGGCTTCCTGGCAGGAGTGCCAGTTTGGGTCCTAGAGACAACCTCCAGTTTGGACTCAATTTACCAGACCAGGAAACATTGTCAAATTCCCTGGAGGGGGGCGGGGTGGAGGCAGGATGGCGGGGTGGCTTGATCAGCACAGTGGCATGGGAAGATTACACTGGCACTTTTCTGCAGTATATTAAATAAAATCTTCGGACAGGAAAAGATTACTTAAGCAACCACAAGAGAGAAGTCATGGGCCTTAAATCTATGAATTGTGCTGCCATAAAATTTAGTCTTTCTATTAAGAAAATTGTCACCACTAGGTAAATGGGGACAAAACAAATCCCTCATTATTTGGGGGAGGTGACAGTGGCAGAGCTGTAACAAATGGTATGAGTGTTTTGGGGTAAAAAAGATTTTGTCAAGGAAGATTATTGCACACAGTAGTGGGATATCAAAGAAAGTTCTTGGGTCTTCCTCGGCAATGGTCCTCCATGGTCAATGTTGGCCAAGTGTGCGGACTGAGGGCAGGGAACAGAGCATGAGGGATGGAGGGGGTGGCCCAGAAGCTCTTGTGTCTTGATGCTGGGATTAGGAATTACGTGTTGCAATTTGGATTAAAAATTCCAAATAATGCATCAGACCAACTAGGTTTTATTCTTAAGGAGAACTATGAAACCTATGAAGAGATGCTGAGGACCTCTTGGAGAAGCAAAGCTCAACTTTGGACCAAAGAACAAAACCAGAAATCAAGTCCCCCACCCCCACCCCCAAGTCATCCTAGAGGAGGAGGGTTTTATATTCCGGCCCCTGTAGGTTGCTGCAGTAGTAAAGCTTCCACATATTGAGAGATAAGAGCGCGTCTCAGTCTCCCTCTGGTCGCCATGTAGAAATAAACTCTAGCGCAGTCTTTCAGCCTGCCTCACTTAAGTCATGGCCACATTATCATCTTGGGGTCTCCCATAAATATGTTCAGAATGAAAGAATTAATTCAAAATCCCCTTACCTGGTCCAGCTTAAGAAACTCAGGTCTGAGGCCGATAAAGGAGTCACCTCTGAATGGGTCAGGTCTGCTCCAAAGGTACCAAGGCCTCCACCCAGCTGCCGGCCCTGGCAACCTCACAAATCCCACGAAACAGGTAAACAGCTAAAGAGAGAACCCTGAAACGGATTTCAGATGCACAGGCAGTGCTGCTCACTGTGTTCTCCTCTCCAAGTGCAGCCGAGGGCTGGTCAGCCAGGAGCCTCCTGTGATCTCTGTGGAGTCTTGCAGGAGGGAGCGAGTGAGCTGTGGGCCTGGTGTTGAGCCCTTTGTCCTCACCTGCGCTTTCAGGAAGGGAGCAGATGTCCTGAATTATTGATGCTCGACTAAGTAAACAGTTGTAGAAGATAGGAGGAGCCCCTCACCTCCGCTCCCCTCCCCTCACCACTACAGGAAAAAGGAGGAGAGAAGGAGTTCTCTCCGTCAGGGAAGATAGTGAACTTAAAACCAAAACCCACGGAAGACTTGGCTAAATGCACCCTGTACACGAGGTCTCCTTTCCAGCTTCCCTGCAGAGAGACCCTGTCACCAATTTCAGGAGATCCTTTTCCTGAAGTTAAGACTGTAATTAATAGGCTGCAAGATAGTACACATTAAGACACTCTAATGGCAAGAAAACATGATGCTGATATTTGCAAATGAAATGTATTATAAACCTTTACAAGGGCAAGAAATAACTCATGGCAACCTTGTCTCTTTTCTGATCAGATGAAGGCGGGAAGGAGGGATGGAGAATCAGACCAGGAAGATTGCTGCAAAGTGGGATGGAGCGGATATGAGGAAAAGGATGAATGAAAACAGTAGAAAGAAAATGATGGTTCTGAGTGGAGACAAGTGACCGGGAGGATGGAGAACAGTTGGTCATATTTGCCATCACCTCACAGCCACATGCATGGGACCGGCTGGGCAGTATAAAGGAAGTGCTTCCTGCTTCCCCCTGCTGCTCAGGGGCCACCCTGCAGTGTGCACTACCCTGATGGGCTGCTCCTTCCCAGTGGGCCTAGCAGAAGGCTCCAAAGTTGGTTGGTTATTTCTCCATTTGACCAGCATTTCTGGAGACCTACTGCGTGCCAAGCACCGTTGTGATGCCTGGGCACTGTTGTGACGTGGGCACTGCGTTGAATAAACCGTGTTTAAGGCATTTACAGTCCAGTCAAAGGAGCAATTGAGAATATACGACTGTTGGCTTAAGCACCTCCATTTACTGTGAGTAAGGAGAGTTAATTGAACACATTTCACACTTCCCCACAGCTCTCACCAAGCCTGTAGGGGTTTCAGACCGTTGTCGCTGCCAAGTGCAACCCTCGAGGGACAGATCCTATGTTTAAAAGAATAGTTTTGTATTTCCTCTGTAGAATTGGTTAGGAAGTTGGTCAAAGAAGCAGGATTATGCAAATAAAAATAAGATGTTAAACAAAGACAAAGAGACATCACCAAGGAGATAGAATCAACCTTTTGTTCCTTCGCAGATGTGTTTGAGCCTGCACATCTAGATGGTGGACCAGGTGCTAACCATGAAATAAGGCACAGAGGGGGACAATTCAGGGGCACCTGAGCTATCTAGTGGATCTCAAAGAATACAAAAGACTACATTGAACCCGAATACAAGGCCGACACCAAGCGTGCAGATGGCGTATTCGGTCGGGGCTGGGGTGCTACAGAGCGCGGGAAAACTGCAAGGCTGGGATAATCAGGAGAGGGTTCAGGGAGGGGCAGGATAAACCGGAGGGTTTGGAAGGCTAGGTGGTAGTTCAAACACTAAACTAAGAAAGAAGAGCGTCCCAAGTTGAGCAGGGAGGGTGAGGATGGAGAGGAGGAGCAGAGCAGCAGCCGGGACAGTCTGAACACTCCGAGTAACACCTGGCAGCTGAGCTCGCATCTCTCCAGGCCCACAGCTCCCAGCCTGGTCCAAGGCTGCGCCACCATCATCTCTTTCCTGGATGCTGCCGCAGGCTGTGATGGAATTCCCTGCTTCTGCTCTTCTTGGCCGCTCCCCATCTTTATCCTGCCTCACCAGAATGGTCTTCATTTAAACATAAATCACACCCATCCACCTCTAGAAAAGAGGCCCATGTACTTTTGAAAATCCCAAGACTGGATCTCTCCACTTGCTGAACCTGCTGTGGTCTTGGTGATCTTCTTTCTGTTATTCACACAAACCAAGGTCATTCCTGTGTTAAAGCTTTCAGACTCAATTTGCCAACAATACCTTGATCTTCTGGACACCTGGTTCCTTCTCATTTATGCAGAAAACAGCTACTTATTGAGTGTCACCCCCTCCCCAGTGCCGTGGCAGATTCTGAGCTATGGATTCAGAGCGCATCTGGTCATAGCTGGAATGCCGTCTCTCGGAGAGACTGTTCCCAGCTACTCTGTACAAAGCAGATACTCTGGTTCTTTTTGCCATGTGTATTTCCTTCATGGTATTTTCCCCCAGCTGTAATTATTGGGTGTTACCGACTTACTTACTGGTTTGTTGTCTTGCCGGGTAGAAATGGAGCTTGATAAGGTTGAAGATCATGTCTTGCTTTTCATCCTCAGCATCTAGCAGGGCACCTGGCACATCAAAGGCACTCAATAAATATAAATATATGCTTGGGGAATGAATAAATAATGAGAGACGAGGCTTGGAGAGATTGATCAGGACCCTATTTTGGAGAGGTGTCCTTTAGGGAGAACCTTGACCATATTTATGTGCTACGCTCTCTAGATGCCTACAAATACTGCTGTGAGTAAGGCAGAAAGGAAACCAGCTATGCTGGGGCATAGCACTATCGGATGGAGCTTTCTGTGATGCAGCATTCCGAATTGGTGCTGTCCATTATGGTAGCCCTTAGTCACATGCGGCTTCTAAGCACTTGAAATGTGACCATTGGAACTAAGGAAGTGAAGCTTTTATTTCGTTTAAGTCAATTTAAATTTAAACTGCTACATGCAGCTAGCAGCTACTATAGTGGGCAGCATAGCTCTAGGTGTCCACAACAACTGCCTGACGTTGCACCTCCATGTCCTTTATTTGATGTCAGTTCTTTCAGGGCTTTTCTTCTAATGCTTCTCATTTTCTCCCAACCCTCCTATCAGCCAAGTTTTCTTCTCTATGGTGGCACCTGGACACAGCAGGTAACCTGTTTTGTCATTAGGGCAGCACCTAGTGAAGTCCTCATACCTGGACACATGTTCTTCTGGGATCCTCTTGACCCCTCAGGCATGATAAGGTCACCTTATCCTACTTGCTCACAGGATGCTCTGATGTCGCTAACTGGAGATGTGGACAGATGAACAAACTCATTGCTTGGTGTTCCAGGTATGGACAAAGCACACTGACCTTTCCTGGGGCCCCATGGATGTCATTAGCATGACAGACTTCCTGCTCCTCAAACTACTGTGGTCTTGCCTCCCCCACACGGTCTTGAGCCAGTAGCTCCTCCTAAACCCACAGCAGGGATCATAAGACATATGGCCTAGAACTCATTGTCACTGGGAGTGCTGTCTACACTACACTTGTATTTAAATCTCATACCTCTCCTGTTGACCTCCTAAATTAGGGCAAGGTGCCCACCTCTAGCTGACATAGGTAGGTTTATGCCCTGAGCAATTCCCACTTTTAGCACAGGAGTTTGAACCACACAATATAGAATATAGAACACAGAATACAGATTCTGCAAAGCTGGATGCCTGATGCTTTCTGTAGCATCACCACCTCTACTGCAGGAAGCTCCTGAGTGTCCTAAGCTGCTAGCCAAGGTAGGAGTGTCTCTTGAGGATAGTTCACACAGGGCTCGGTAACTCCTGTCATGAGTGGACATCACTTCTGCTGGGTAGCACACAGGTACCGTGTAGTCCTTTCTCAATGGAGAGGCCTCCCTGGTGGTGCTGAGTGTGTCGTGAGTGGTCTGCAGACACAGCACTATGTAGACTTCACTTGTGTATAGGAGGCAACTAATGGTGGAAAAAGACAGTGGTCTGATGAGATCTGGGATTACTCATAGTGATGTGTAACCCTTGCAGGCTGTTAGCCCTGCTAGACTTTTCTTCCTGCCACCTATGAACTATGTTGGAAGCAAGAATGGGTTTTCTGTAGGAGCACATTGTACACAAACTCCAGTAAACACAAGGAAAAAGTGGGGAACGGTACAGACTTCCAACCACAGAGAGATGTCTGTGTCTTTGAATGACAAGAGGCAAAAAGCAACAGACAGGGAGGCAGCAGAGGCCGAGGGCCACAGGGATAATGCCCAATGAAGATGACCTAGTTACAGGTAAAATGGTCACCTGTAGTCCTAGGGCCACAGGAGACAAACACGGAGTTGGGGGTCCAGGGACCCCCATGCTAAAGCCTGGCAATGGCCTATATCACTGTGTTTTATCAGCATGGAATCATATCTCTGTGGGAGATGCCTCAAATTCCATTTAATCTGTGGTCTCACCCCTCTTTGCCGTGTGTTTCTCTGAGTCCTTTGGTTGGTAAGGTGCAATATCCTCCTAGGGAGCTGGCAGCAGATGCTTGCCTGTCAAGTTGGCTCTGCTGAATTTCAAACTGTTCAGTGTGGGCAGCAGGAATCAATGTATTATGAAAGATAGCATCCCAGAAATACCACCGTGCTGTGGTTCTTCTTGACATCCTTGCTCCTTTCAGCCCATCAGCGCTTCTCCAGTACTGTGCAGAGTGTTTCCCCTGAACTGCACCCCAGCCCAACACTTTGGGAGGAAAGTTGGTCTCAGGTTGGGATGTGCTGCCTTTGCTGCCACAGCTGCACCCTCACACTGCCATTCGTACCTTGGGGCGTACCCCAAACTCTGGGCTCTGATTCTCCTCCCTGTAGACGCTATGCTGCTGCTGCTTGAGTGCCTCTTGGCTGCCCTTCTCAGCGGGGTGGAATGGGCAGATAGGTGCTCTGCTTTGTCTGGGAAAAAAACCTTCAGATCCCACCAACCCAGCCACTCCAATGAATAGCAGCTCAGCCTCTCGACAAAGCATTCCAAGCCAAAGCAAAGAAGAAACGCTCTGCTCTTTCATCTTCTACCTCATTAGAATCATCCACATGATAAGAACTGAAGTCCTCTTCCTTGATCGCCCCACATAATTAAGGAGCAGTAAATCTCTGTGGTTACAGGTGGGCTCTGCAGTCAGAGAGAACAAATCCATCTGCAAAGTGTGCCAAGTCCTGCAGCCTCTCTGAGCCTCAGTTTCCTCATTATGGCATAGCAGTGACATTATCTTCCTCCTGGGCACTGCTGAGGACACGCAGCCCAAACCGCCT